AGCTGCACAAGAATCAAATTTTATTTTTTATTATTAGATAGCTATTTTTGTTTCTGAGTTGTGTTCATTTACAGGCTCAATTTTTTTCCGTTTCTCCTTTTTGATTTTATATGGGGTTTCAAGTTGTTTTTGACTTATTTCGACGTAAATCACAACAACACACTTTTTTAATAAAGCAAACAAGTGTTAAGAGGTATATGTACGTATAAACTACAATTGCAAAAAATTGATATGAAACCCATGAAACCACCAACAAAAATGTAAAGCTAGCTTCCGTACTAGAACATGGTGTCATTCGTCGAGATAATTTATCGTTTTGTTTAATAGATCAAGAAATGTAAATATTCCCCTGTTATTTTTTATAAAATTATAAGAGAAATAAATTTTTTTCTAAATAGTATAGTTTATTATTTTGTAGAAAAACAAAATTTCGAAAATTTTAGTAATGTTTCAGAAACAACCGTTATTAATAATAGGTACCATTTTCCTTAATAAGGTAGAAATAAAATATAAACTATTTCCACGATTTACAAAGGCCTACAAAAAAATTATAGGTATTTTCCGCTATCCTATAAAATTTATATTTTCTGACTCAATTTCAAAAGGTTGAAGGAATTCCAAAACACCTTTTATGGCATAATAATTATTTTCAATTCTACATACTATCTTTAGCTGCTTTTAAAAACGTTCTAAGAAAGTCCAATCAGACCAATTTAATCCCTAAACTATTCCACACTTTTAAAATTTAATTACCTAAAAATATTAAAAACTATTTAAAATAACTTGTTTAGCAGACTGTACAATAGCTATCTTAGTCACACGTAGCGCGTTCTCTGTCTGGGCGTCGAACACCTCTAGAAATTTGATGAACTGTATATACTGATATACTGACGTCATCAAATGAATGACCTAAACTAAACGATACTGGGGTGGTGAAGTGCCTTGAAATTAAAATTTAAGTTAAAATCAAAATGTCGGAGTTTTCGTTGAATTTGGAAGGAAATGTCAGTAAGAAATTAGATTGTAAGGAATTGTCAGAGGGGGTATAGAATTGTTTGGAGTTTGGAATATGTTAGGATTTTTAATTATGTTGGAGATATTGTTAGTTTTGATTAAGAAACTGTAAGAATAAAATTTAAAAAAAGGTAAAGAAAGTTTTATTTATTTAAAAAGTAAAAAATATACAAAATCAAAGATAAGCAGTGACAGACAGGGATTAACAGAGCCAGGGCTGGTAGCAGCAGATACAGGTAGCAAGACAGAAAAAAGAACAGGTAGAGGCAGGACAGATACACACAGGTAGAGATTAGCAAAGGTACAGACCAGCAGATAGATAGAATCGAGCAGATAGGCAGAGACAAGCAGACAGGTAGAGGCAATAGAGACAATCTTAGTCACACGTAGCGCGTTCTCTGTCTGGGCGTCGAACACCTCTAGAAATTTGATGAACTGTACTCATAGTCAATCTTCACTCTCATTATGGGTACAAGGAGAAAAGTTGTCTGGCAATTTTACAACAAGAAAAAGTAGTGGTGTGCAAATTTTGCAATAAACAGTTTGAGTTTCCAAATGGGAATAAAATGGAAAAACACACATTGAAGTTCTTACACTGTCCCATAAATATAAAAAAATCTTTTTGCCAAAGCTGTACTAATCAGTGGGGCTACTTTATCAATGGTAGAATATCCATTATGGATTGAATTCTTCAAACAAATAAGGCCCTCTTTCGTATTGCCTTCTAAATGTGACGAAAATACCGATTCTGATTTCTGATTTTCCTGATAACTAATATGCTTTGTTTAACAAAAAACTTTTTTATTTATTTTTTATTTCTTTATATACCATATTTAAAATAAGTGTTTTGTTAGTTTAGTTTCAGTTTCTCTCGTTTTGTATTTACCTACTACTTACTTCATGTTATTTATGCTAGTTTTTGTTTTTATACAGAAATAAATATATCTATATTACGTTCATTCAACTGGAAATTTCCTATTTTTGAAAAAACCCAATAAAAGTGGGTTTTATAAATTGAAAAATCCCGAAAAAACCCACTGGGTTTTATAACACGAGGAAATTCAATGCCAACCCTGTCTGTTAAAGATAAGGTAATACATTTACCTTCTTTTTTGTCATGTCTCATAACTAAAGCATATTGCAAGACGCCACATCAACTGAAACCTTTATAAATTTAGACACTGCAGAAATCTAAAGAGTTCATAACAATTTTGTTTTTGGAGAATATATAAATAAAACTAATTTTCTTTGTAAAACCTGTTTCACGCCATGCCAATAAAGATTAAAAATTTATTAAATGAGGATAAAATTACTTATTGCTTTTGAAAGGTTCTGAATAAAGTTTTCTTATAAATGTAGTGTCAAAGTGTTTATGGTTCCAAATTGGTTGAAAATACAGTAACTATAAATGTGTCTTTAAAATACTATTTGAAATTGCTTTATTAAATCCTTGTAAGTATCTACAAATAAGATTTATTATATTTTGCGGCACATTAATAAAGCATTTATAAAGGAACTAAACAACTTTTTTGATTCATAATTTGGTGCCCAATTTAAGCTCATAAGAGTTGTATAAAGCCTGTAAGAATATCTACAAGTAAAATTACAAATCTTATTATCTTATAAACATTTGTTTTAAGAATATCCTTACAGCTTTTATAAACCCATCATGTGCTACTTGGGTATTCTTTAAAAGGTAAAAATTATGTTTTTGGATTGAAAATACATTAAACCTACTTATTTGTTCCAAAATAGATGATTAAAACCAACTTGCTATTTAATCTTTTAAAATAGCAAATTAGTTTTAAAGTAACTAATGTCAAGAGTATTATAAAACCAGTAGATCAATCTGACATCTAGAGCTAATAGTTTTTTTTTTATTAAATTCTTTGCACAAGAATAAGTGGTCTTTAAGAATGTTTAGTTTATCTTAAGGTAACTTTAGAACCAATATAATTTTATTGAACATATTAAAGCACTTTTAAAACCTAAACAAATCTAAACTGTCTTAAAATTGTTACCTAGGATGGCTGCAAAAGAAAGTAAAATATAGATACAATACTAACAGTAGATAAGCATTACTGGCCTTAGTAAAACAGAAACCATATATCTACTACATGAGACATAATCAGCGAGATAGAATGAAGTATAGAGATGACATAAACGCTATTTAGCAATATGACAGATGGACAAAATGGCGACTAGAGTAACTACTTTAATTTATTTTAGGTCAATAATTTTATATTTGGAAATTGCTGGAATGAAAATGTTTTTATATCAGTTAAATGAAGCTATTCTAGAAAAATTGCATTTATTCTCACCAAAACTGACTAGCTCCACTAACTAGAGTTTGACACATGACATAAAAGTATAATGCAAAGATGAGGATACTATTAGTATCGCCATAGCATCTCCTCTTTATTCTATCTCAGTGGGCATAGTATTAAAATGTCACCAAACCATAGAAGTAGTAATATGGTGGACCAAAGGATAGTACGACAAAATCCAATCACATTTGTTGAGAAAGTGAACTCAACAAATATTTTATGTGTACGTGTTGGTAGTCTGTAAGTGAAGAATAGGTATTTTAGTTTTGTTATGTTAGAAACAGTTTTTAGAATAAGAGGGATATAAAATATGTAACAGTTGGTGTACATAGCATAACTAGCATGTACCTCGTTGATAAAAATAAAAGTATTTAAAAGTAAAATGGATTGCATTTATTTCTCTTCTGGTTGCTACAATAAATAAAATTTCAACAACATTACTGACACAATTTGTCAGAATGGTAGCTACACTAACTTTTCTATATGTCTGAATAACATCAGCATTAACAGAATTGATCTAAAGGACAATCATATGCCAATTAAATGAAAAAATGTAGTAGGCTGCAAATATGCCAAGGATTTACTTAAATACTCATAACAAAAAACCATGAGATGTAATCTACATACCTATAATGCTGGATCTTCTAACTTCACAAACACATTCATTTAATTCAGGCACACCCCTATATATGATACTCTTAGTGATATTAGTATTAATCAATACAAAAGATGCAATGTTAACAACTTTAAAACAGTAGGCTGGTTTATAATAGGGCTAATGAATTTTGAATGCTTTGATGCTAATTTTACCCTAGGTAGGGCAGAATTTAGCGAAAGAACCCTATCCAAAATCCAAATTATTAAACACAGGCAAAAGTTAAATTCAAGTATAAACAAAACTAAAAAAATGCTAGATTTTTTCCACTCACAACATAAAAATAGGTACCTACCATTTTAAAATAAGTTTGCCCTTTGTACCTACAATACTCAAATCAAAACAATGTTTATATCTACTTAATATTATTATCATCAATATAGATTGGTATATAATATTATCATTATTATTACTGGATATACATATTTCATTAAATTTTACATTAAATATCATTTAAAAACCAATTTTTAAATATTTTATACTTTTTCTACTGTCAATTCTAAGAAATTAAAATAATTTTTACTTCCCGAAATTATTTTTATAATCTAGATTATTGGAATTACTTATAAGTATAGTTCATAAATATGGATTGTTTACATCATATATACAATCAAGCTACAAATTCTGGTAGGTTCTAGATAAAAATATTTTCATAAATCTATAACAATTACTGCCCAAAACTTTAGATCATAGGATAAGACATTCTATTCCTATTTAGTCATAATAAACAAATGATTTTTAAGGTCATTATAGGTAATTTATTTTTATCATGAGCAGACTTACCAACAATAAGTATATAAAACAACACAAAAAAGAATTTTGATATTATTTAGAACCTATTTTAGTGTTCTAGAATCGCTTATGATACACAAAGGAGCCAGAATCCATTTTACGAACATTATATGACATTGGTATCAAAATGAAATAAAACTATTAACGACCAGCCAACTACAGATGGTAAATTCGTAGAAAAAACGTATGTAAGTTTTTTTCTTAAAACCTACCGAAAATACACTCCATCGCCTCAATCTTCACTTGAATTCCTTATAATGGAGTACAGCTTATAAATAAATGGACCAAAAATAAGAACGAAAAATGAATAATTTTGTTCTACACTGTTAACTTTACAACTTGCAACACGAACGGGTGCCTTGAGTTAGCCAACGATCACAGTGAAAATCCCGTTTACACCACACAAATATTAACGAGACCTGTTTTGGAAACCAGTTATCAGCCTATTTCATGTTAAAATCTATGTATTATTATGTTTAAATAATTATAGGAAAACTTACTTGCAAATATATTCTTCACAAAATGATTCACAAAAACATATGATCCATAATGCACCATTATTTTTCCAATTTCAGTATGATAAGCAAGTTTTACAATAATAAAATTGTTCCAGAGACATCTTATAACTGTTTTTCTAACTAAACGAAATATAGCCAACGAATGTGTACGAAAATAACAGTTTTCTTTTTTTACGTTCTCTCGATTCGCACACTTACTTTTACAGAATAGAGGTAGCGCTAACAGTAAAATTTCAATTATTTTATTTGTTTGCTAAGAAGTATTTATTAGTATTGGGCTTTCTGTTTTAAGGATCAATAAAAGCAATAACCCTATAAAAAATATAGATAGAAACCGTTATAAAGAAATACAGTACAATAATAAGTAAACAGCTTAGGGCAATGAGTACATAGAAATCTGACACAGCTTTTTCTATTCGTTATACAAAGTTCGTACTGTAGTGTATAAGATGGCGGTAGTGAGTCTCAACTAAGTGACAACCAATATGACCAACTAATAATTAGTTACATTTTAAATTAAATCCATATATCATACGGGAAGACAGTGACCTGTATATGTAAAATGGAACAACAATCCCTATTTTCAAAAGTAAGCCGAATTAAATCTGCCCATTAAAAATAAAATTAAAATACATCAAAAATTCAATAAAAATACAATAAAATACAATAAAAATACAATAAAAATACAATAAAAATACAATAAAAATACAATAAAAATACAATAAAAATACAATAAAAATACAATAAAAATACAATAAAAATACAATAAAAATACAATAAAAATACAATAAAAATACAATAAAAATACAATAAAAATACAATAAAAATACAATAAAAATACAATAAAAATACAATAAAAATACAATAAAAATACAATAAAAATACAATAAAAATACAATAAAAATACAATAAAAATACAATAAAAATACAATAAAAATACAATAAAAATACAATAAAAATACAATAAAAATACAATAAAAATACAATAAAAATACAATAAAAATACAATAAAAATACAATAAAAATACAATAAAAATACAATAAAAATACAATAAAAATACAATAAAAATACAATAAAAATACAATAAAAATACAATAAAAATACAATAAAAATACAATAAAAATACAATAAAAATACAATAAAAATACAATAAAAATACAATAAAAATACAATAAAAATACAATAAAAATACAATAAAAATACAATAAAAATACAATAAAAATACAATAAAAATACAATAAAAATACAATAAAAATACAATAAAAATACAATAAAAATACAATAAAAATACAATAAAAATACAATAAAAATACAATAAAAATACAATTATAATACAATAATAATAGATAATTATTGCCAGAAATAAAAAGATATTAATTAGCCAATGTATAACTAGTAGAACAATTTTTTTTCTGTACTTAACCCATTTTGGCTGAAATTAGGAATTCAGGAAAAAAACATAAGTGACACTTATTTGGTTTTGCACTCTAAGCTTGCTAATGTAATGATAAAATAAATTAAAAAAATTAAATAATTGACACATCTGATTTATACGCATATGCATTCTAATAATCTTCTAAACTTCAACAGCCAAAATAAGTTAAATGGCACTTAACTTGTTTTAGCTGTACAGTTTTGAACAAATAAATGAATTATTGTCAAAACAAGCCTACATTTTTCCGTAGTTTTCCATTGTCCAACACTTATCTGGTTTTTGCAGTAAGCCGACGATATATAGGTACATATTTTTAAGTTCACTTTATCACCCTGTAGATTGAAAACTGAGACTTTTACAGGAAAATTATATTTAGCTTCTCTTAAAAATTAGTTTAAGATCTACAAGTCCAAAGTTTACGGTACTTTATTCTGAAACACCCTATATAAATGTGCATTGTGTGATGCCTTACATTTTAGGAATAAAATGATATTTTTTGCAGGCTTTCTCACAAATATAATTCTCAATTAAGAGCTATTACTCTAACATCAAATTTTTATTCTCCAAAAGGTTACAGCTATGTAAGGGTTTAAAAAGTTTAATAAGACCTTATCCGGGGTGGGTGGCACAGTGGTAGAGTCTCTGCCTGCGGATGCCAGGGCCCCAGGTTCGAATCCCACCGTTGGCCTGGATTTTTTCATTTAATTTAATTATTTAAAATTAATTCTGATGCATTGGTAGGATTCCCCACTCGACCATTCACTGTTGGGTACTAATTAACAGTGCTTTTCCTAAAGTGGCGCTGGGAAATAGTAACAAATCCTACACAGAACACGAAGCTAATAACCGTAGCAGTTGATGCCGATGACACTAAAAAAAGACCTTACCAGACCCAAAATATCAAAATGTCACCAAAACCAACTGATGGTTCTCCTGGTTTCCATAGTGAAATTCTCCTAGAAACTCCTAAAAGAAAAGAGGCAGAGGCAACAGAAAAAGGCAAAATAATCATTTGAAAATAAAAACAAGAACTTTGTTTAAGAATCTAATTATTGTTTTACAATTAATAATTTTTGATAACCCTTTAAGATTATGAAGTTCTATATATTATAATTTTCATTTCAACTAATCAACCCTCATAATATTTAAAAGGGGGAAACCGTTAGGGATAATCAACTCTTTAAAAAATTACCTACTTAAAACAAGGGCGACTCCAAGACGAATTTTCGGGGGGGGGGGGGGGGCATTGCCTTTAGATCAGTGGTTCTTAAACTTTTTTGTTGACGGAACCTTTTTGAGAAGCGAAATATTTCTAAAAAAAAAGTTCTCCGAGCAAAGCCTCCTTGCTCTAGCCTCTTGCCAAGTCCATCCCGTTTCTTTGCGGAGCCCCTACAACAACATCCTCCTCAAAATCATATTATCCTTCCTCTGGTCTCCAAAAAAAAGTTCCTCCAACCAAAATACCAAAATCGTATACTCCTTCCTCTTCTGACTTCTAAAAAAAAGATCCTAATCCCAATTCCCGTTGTAGCAATAGGTACTGCTTTTTTTGTTATGACTATTATTTTCGTCGTGGAGCCCCCACAAAGGCTTTGCGGAGCCCCAGGGCTCCGCGGACCACACTTTCAGTAACGCTGCTTTAGATATTCCCTTTTTAGCATATTTTTTTGCATAAAAGGCTCATAAATCGTAAGAATGTTCTTCTCGAGGGGGCCATGGCCCCTATGGCTCCCCCTGGAACCGCCCTTGACTTAAAATGTGTTACTTTCTGAAGGTTATTAACTTTCATTAGTTTTATTTGTATATGTATTAATATATAATTATATTATATATTTATTCGTAATCCCGAACAATTTAAACGCATCCGTAATTGCTCATTTTCACCTCTACTGTCGTAGATTTCGTACTCATGTTTCTTCTTTTTAGTTAAGTTTGCAATGCTCATCTATTTTTTCTTTTCCACAATACTATAACGGTACAATATGAATCCATTTTAGTAATTTATACATGTTCCTATTATAATTAAGAATTATTGTATTACAGGCCCGAAGATGGCATTGTGAGGTCGAAACTAGCCGCTCCTGTATTTATCTATAATAAAAGTGATTATTATTCTATAATTTAAAAAATTAGATTTTTGTTTTTTTTCTGCATCAGACATATAAGACGGTATACATTTTAAAAATAAAATTAGCGAATTTTTATGTTTTTTTTACAATGTGTGTTCTTACAGAGAAATGATACGCCACTGAAGCAAGGAGTGTGTTTACCTTCTCCCTTGTGCCCGCTTCCTTACTTCCTCTATAGATGTTGAGAATAATCGCCAACAAACTAGCTACACGCTCCATCTAGTAGTATTTGCTCGGAGAAATTCAATTAGGCATTCCAAACAAATGAATTGCCAGTGGGCAGGTTTGGTAGATCTGACGGTTGCGACATACGATGTATTCTATCTACATTTAAATATTTTACATCGAACACTATAAAAATATTAATTAAAAAAACTGCTTGTACATTTTTTAAAAACTGTCAGGATTGACGACTGATATTTCGAATAAAAATAGCGTCCAAGATGCAAGATTATGTCGCTATCCCCTTAGATATACGAGACCTTCCCACTGGCAGGTATTGTTTGACAGGTCGTTGGAATGCCTAATAAAGATTGTAATTTTTATCTATTTTATTAGTAGGCCGCGTCTGTCATATATAAAAGTTGAATAAATTACTCGAATCGAAACGTCAAATTTTTACTGTAAAATAATTTATGAAATATTTGACTAAAAACTAAAAAAACTTCACCGAAAGTAAAAGAAGCTGTTGAAACTGCGTCACTGAATTTATTGCTAGAAAAATCAAGAACATTGAGTGTGTCGGCATTGAATTCTCGCTTAAATTGAACAATGGAAAGAACAAAATCGTTTTCGGAATCTGTTGTGTTGGTGTATTTTACAGAACTATCCAGAAAATATAAATCCTCGACACTATGGACCTGTTATTTATTGCTTAGAAGTACTATCAATACACGAGTAAATAAGAAATATAGAAAATTATACGGAACTACGCGTTATTAGAGTGAAAAAGTGAAGGAATTCAACCTAAAAAAGGTTTGTACTTTTTCTAGATAAAATATTAATGATTTTCTTACTAAAGCATCAGACCGCAAATACCTTTGCAACAAAAATAAGCCATAGATTAGTTTTTTCTTGTAGTCGCACTATTAACAGGAATAATGGGCGATTGTCGGGCTAATGAGATGTATTGCATGACAATTAGTGATTTACAAGATCTTGGATAAGTTTTTTTAGTAAATGTACTTAAAACCAAGATAGAAAGAAGTCGAAAATTAACAATTACCTTTCAATTTTATGACGTCAAACTCATGTTACAAGTGATTTGTTATTTTTAAACTTAACAGAGCGGTAAATGCATTGCACAAAGAAATGATC